CCAGAATCTCCCATAGTTCAACTGGACTGAGACCAGGTGACTATTGTTGGGACTTATCATTCAAGAGACCAGATGTTTCTTTGCTCCACTGGACAAAGGAACTCACACTCCACAGTTCTTCACTGTTCGCCCCTGGGGCCGACCCTTCCCCCACAGACCTTATTGGCCAGCCAGTGTGGTTCAGCGTGTGACATGTGACCCCCAAGGGTGTCACCAAACAAAACCAGATCTCCTTCTTGGTTCTCCCTCTTCTCGCTCTCTTCTCTTTTTGGCTTGCTCTGAAGAGCAGCTCCTGCTCTCTCCTCTCGGCTCTTCAAAGGGCAACAAGGCCCCAGCCCAGGTCAGCTCTGCTACCTGAGAACCCAGCTTTCTCGCCGGCCTGCTCACAGCAGCCTGCAAACACTCTTCTCCTCAACAGCAGCAACTTGCTTCGGATTAACTGTGAGTGAACCAAGTTCTCTTCAGAATCAGCAGCTACGACACAAGGCCAGCTGAATTTCCAAGCAACAGGAGTCATAGCAGAGTTAGCGTGGAACAGCTAACTCTGTGAGTAGAACAAAGGAGATAACAGCAAAGCAACACAGCCAGACAGGACTTTACTCCACCAGGAAGCCTCCCAACTCACTGGACTTTACAACAACACTGGAAAGGACCTCTTTGTGGACTGGGTAACGTTAACTGACTGGGCCTAACCTTTCCCAGCACAGCACAGCACAGCACAGCATAGCTAAGCAGCAGAAGTCTTAACTTTGTTAATGTACTTGTTGATTGATGTCTTGTTGTTGTAATGTTTGCTTAGGTTGTGGTCAGTCATACAGTTAATCGGGCACTCGTATGTTAACACACATGGTAGTACGTCTCAGTTCTAGAACCTGCATGAAGCTAACCTCCTCCCTCTAACCTGGTACCTTTAGATTACATGAGCTAGGCTAACAAAGAAACTCACACCTTCCCTCCCACACACACCAGGTGGTCTCAGCAGCCATTTTGAGTAGTTTCTTTATTTACTGCCATCTTGTGTAGTCTTCTTTGTTCAGGTCATGTGGTCACAGTGACCACTTTGAATCGGCCATCTTGCCTTTGTCTGTGTCCCTACACACACACACATACACACACCTGTATATACTAGATCAGACATTGTGTTTTTACTCTGCTCCATTGTAAATAAATGTCTTTAAGTATAACTACTGGTGTGTTTAATGTTGCACAAGCGTGAATATTGCCAACCTGTACTTTGTAGAATTCCAATCCTTCAACTTCAAATTACTGTCGACATGGTAGTTTGGTTATAGTTAGTAAGCTAATTGTTAATCAGAGTTCCAGATTAATGGTAATAAATTGAGACTAAAACCATATTGGCTATTTTGCCGATTAGTTTTTAATATTTTCAATATTAATATTTTTCTTAATTTATGATAGCCAATAAATTGATAGACAACCGAAATCCAACATATTTGTGGCTAGCTCATGAGGTAGAGCTCAGACCCAACACTATGAAAGTCACAGCATATGATTCACATCATCTTCATACTCATCAAACCAGTGAGCCCTGTGACCTGAGAATTTGTCATCATGGAAAAGACCCCTCCCGTCAGGATAGAAATGTTTCATCTTAGGATAAACGTGATCACTCAGAACAACAAAAAAGGAATTGCAGTGACCTTTAATCTTCTCCCTCCACAGCAGACTTGGAGGTGCTGACTCTTATTTCAGCCACTTCACCCCCAGCTGCTGACCACCCCGTCTGATCAAGCCAACAGAGCCACATCATTCACAAAGTGCAGAGACGCACATGTAAGGTATCTCTCCTCACCCAAGCTGTGACTTGAGATCTTCTCCGTAAGAAATGATTCATGGTGTTAGTGAGTAAAGCTTTAAATCAAGAGCTTTTACAGCACAAAAAAATTGGTAACATGTACTTGTTTAATCAGTAGATAACTTTTTTTAACAAGTTGGTCAAAATGAAAATAAAGAAAATAATCTTAACTTAAATATATTTTCATTTTGAATGAACATTTCCCCTTCACTTAACAATAGATTAGTGTTAAGTTAGTATAACGTGTATATCTAGTAAGCATTCTTCAAAATCTCACCCTCGTTTTGATGCCAGTCTGCACCTTCTACAACAGAAAGGAGGAGGGGGAGAAACAGGAGTTTGCATTGAATATTATTTAAGGCTAAATTACTTGGTGAGTAACTATTTTTTCAGTCTTATTTGCAACAAATGGCAAATGCGGGAAAGTCTTGCATAGGTGACAGCAAAGAGAAATCTGGCAAAGAATGACTGGAAGGCTGGGGTTTGTATACTGGGTGAGGGTAATAAGGAGCAGCTGTGTGACCAGGTGAATAGAGTTGGCTTGATAAGGTGAGAGTGGCTAATGCAGGGAGGTGCAGGAGAACAGGGTGAATGGGAAATTACTGACTGGATGACAAGGAATGCTGAAGTGAGGCAGGTGACCTGAGAGGCAGAACTGTGACAGAAAAGTTGGTGGACTGTTTGCTAGCTGGTGTTTTCAAAGTATGTACTCTTTTTTATGTTTAGTTTACAGTGGCAGCCTAATGATGAACACACAACAACAGCCACGTGGATGACAATCATGATTTAACCTGCAACAGATGCATGTTGAAATTTAAGCAGTAGTTATTTTTTTCTTACGTTAAATTTACTTGCTTGAGCCACAGCTAAAAATGTTTATCTGCATTTACTAAATGTGATTTTTTATTTGTCTCATTTTTATACAGATAGACAGATGTTTAACTTGTTTTTTTCTTATTCAGTCTAGGGAAAGAAGGAGAGAGGTTGCTCTCTGTGGCTTAATGGTGCACCGTCAGACTAGTGCGGACTAGAGAGACCAATACATGATGAACTGATGAAGCCGCTTGGATAAGAGGCGAAACGTCTTCCACAGACAAATACAAGTCCAGTTGCCTTCGATTTAATTTGAGAGAGAGATAACTATGACCTGGACGAATGAGAACATTCACAGACACTCAGAGAAAGGTCAAATGATCTCTTCAAAGAGCAGTTGGTACGTAAATCAGGCACTTAAGTTCAGACACACTGTACATTTTGTTACTCTTGTTTTTAAATATGATGACTTATAACACTGACAGTGATTCTGACCCATTTATGCCAGGATGGGTACCAAAGAAGTGAAAAAGATTTTTGTAACAGAGCTGCTATAATGTCTGATCCAGACAGTGCAAGGATTGTGATTGAGGAAACAGAAGTCCTTTAAAATCTGAATGTACCCAGAGCCTGTGCCTTAGTAGTGGATCTAATATATTGACTCAACATTAGCTATCCAAAAGAACTGAAAAAACACTTTTGAGGTGCTTCAAAACCTAGTCCAAAGGTATTGTGTGTAAAAAATGAACTGCTGTACTAAAAAACTCAACAGGATATGTTACACTGGTTAGTTTGTTTGTGTGTTTGTTTTGTGTGCAACATACAGTTGCCGGTTTATTAGGTACACCTAACTAGCTTTTAGCTAGGTGGACCCAATACTGGCAATTAATAGTATTTTGTACACAAAGATTGTTCACAGTAAAAAAAAAACAACAGTTGACATTGGATTTACAATAAACAGGTTGACCACAAAACTGGAAATGCTGTGCAAAATTTACTCTGACTTAAGTGAATTAAATTACTACTAAAATATGAAAGTAACAATTTGCATGGACATTACTGAGTAGAATGGAATAAAATGAAGAAGTTAGAATAGCTTAAATTAAGTAATTTGGCCACTTAGTGTCACCAAAACTTTTCATTAAAATTAAGTTGGTTCACCTTATTTGAGCTTTTAGAGAGTACAAAGTGGAACTAAAGAAATTGAGTTAGTCTAACTATAAAAGTCTCATGTGATTTACTCAATATTGGCTAATTTGGAATTACTTAAAAAGATCCATGCTTGTATTTTTTGCAGAAACACAGGACACAAGGGGAAACACCCACTGAAGTTTTGGTTATACAAAGACCAGGTGGCTTGTAGCAACGGCCCTGAGACACCATACTCCTTACTCCATACACCAGTACTCCTAGCAAGGTCACCAGGGATCACAGTCGTAAGCTCCAAGTCAATAAAACCCCCTCAGCATTCCTGCAAGCATAAGGAGCTGGTCTGCTGGTCCACTGTTCCATGGCCAGGCTGGAATCTGAATTGCTCCTCCTGAACTCCAGTCAGAAGCTCCTTTCAAGCACACTGGAATAAACGGGGCCAACCCAATGTGGGAGTTGAAGACCTCATCGATAGGGGCCCCTGCCAGAGCTTTCCTTTCAGCAACTCAGAGTCACACGGAGGGGACCTTCCCATTCCACTGACTGAACTCACACACAGCAGCACTCAGCCAGGGGCTTGTGAGTATCCCCACACCCATCTGGTGCCTGTAACACTGGGTAACTCTAGAAAAAGAGAGAGTCCAGTCCCGCTCCAGGAGTTTGGTTCCAGAGCCCATGCTATGCGTAAAAGTGAGCCCAACTTTAATTATTTTGTACCAGTCCACCTCTCACTCCAGCTTAGGTTCTTTCCCCTCCAGAGAGGTGACACTCCACATCCCTAGAACCAGTCTGTGATGCCAGGAGTCAGCATGCCTAGGTCCATGCCTTTGTGCTTTGTGCTCACAGGGTGGCGGCATAGGTCAAAGCCAGCTCACCAGATGCTTGCCGGTGAGCTCCCCTTCCAGGTCTGGCTCTAGGAGTAGGCCCCGTTTTCCTACTGAGCAAAGATACGTCCAAAAGACATCTTTTGAATGTCTTTGTCACACATTAGAAAGACATCCCCTCAAGATTCAGAATAAACGTTTTTCTGACGTCTTGAATGTAAAATGTTGACATCCACAGCACCTCTCTACAAGGTTAAAAAATAGGTTAAAAAAAATGTGTTTAAATGTGGTCATTGTGAATGTCTTTTCAAGGTCTTATTGTCAACTGCAGACACATGTTAAACATTATTTATACTATACATTTTGGCACTGTTCACAAATAATGCTCTCATGCTTCATTCAATTCAAAGCTCACTTTCATTTATTTCAATGTAATTTTAATTTTTAGTTGCACAACAGCTCTATAGACCCACCTCATCCCCAGATAGCAAAATAAATGCAGCCCATACTTGAGTCACATGCTGGTTTTCTTCCAATATAGGCCCAGTTCCATGGCCCAAATCTGAGCTGCAACAAAGATGACTAATATTATTATTATTATGATTATTATAATATAATAATCATAATAATAATAATCATAAACCAGCATAAACACAGAAGTAACAACAATGTTATCATAAAACACAGGGACAACAAAATACTGTGAAAAGTATCGTAGTAATATAAAATAACAAAAGTTGATAGATAAAACCAGGTGACACATATTCAATATCCACAGAGAGTGGATAATTGATTCTTTCTGGCACAATGGTGAACATCAGCAGTAACATGTTAAAATTCATTTTTAAGAAAAGACTAATACGAATTGTTATACAAAAGACTTATTGAAGAAAGTAAGTGTGAAATAGATGTTTTCCATTAGACATATTATGACATAATGTGAAACGCATTCCAACACATAAGCAACTGCACAGTAATAAATCAAACCCCCATTATACCATTTATAACCATGAACATGTAGCCTACACACAATAGAAAAAAGTATAGAAGAAGAAATGATGGAACATTTTGTCGGTTTTAATGTCAGAAAAGAGTTGAATTGCTCAACTGGTTTAAATGTTACATTTGCCATTTCAAATTTTTGACCAAAAGACATGACTCATGACACTGTGACACTGACTAAAGAAACATTTTGTTAAGCATGAAATATTTACTGCAATTGATTCAACTCTTATAAACATGAGAAGAAAAGTAGTAGTGAAGTAAAGAATGTTTAGATCAAGCTTGGTCACAAGAAACTAAAATGTAAATGAGTACAAGTGGATGTTTAAATCTAATTGCTTAGAAGTTATACTACTATTACAGAATCATTGTAAATAGCATGAGCTTGGCAGGGTGTTTGTCTTTGTGTTCGTTTAGGTGCTGTTGTCCTGTAATATGTGGATATGTCAAACAGAATTTTCCCCACGATGATGTGGTGGAGGTTTTCTCCCTGGCCATTATATGAACATTTAAATTATAATTCAATAATCTGGAAAACAGCTGGTCAGGTTTGTAATGTAAGGTAATGAGGAGAAATCTGTTCTGCCCTACAGAATTTACAGAATATGAATGAAACAAGCTATAAGAAACATCCCATCAGCCTTCTGTACAGTGACACATTTGAACCATTACTGTTCATTGAAAACATCCCAAGAAAGTCATAAATACCCTGATTAGACAACATTTGACTATAGTGTATTTAGATCCAAAATTTAGGTTGCAAAAAATATTTTTCCAGAAAACTGTGAATATAAATATTTCTCAATGATGTATGATTTCAAAAAGCCAGGTTCACTTGTCTTCAAACAGTGCTGTAAAAGAGGATGTATGAGTGTGTTAGTGTCAAACAGAAGAAGTGTGAACATGCAGGTACATGTTCCTAGTCAAACTGCTGTAGCCACACCTTCAGAGCATCACACATAAAAATACTTGAGAGACTGCCTTGCTAGAAGTTTGACATGACACTTCAGTGAATTTCTCTGGTCTCTTGCACCACCTTGTGGTAGGTGGGGGTTGTGCTCACTGTGGTGGTAGAGGAACCCACCACACTGCCCTGAAGGCCAGTGGATGTGCTGCCCGTTCTGTAGAGTATTCTCTGAGAACCTGAAATATCACTCATCTTGGACAGACCTTGTGCTTCCTGGACCAACTGCCCTCCACTGCTTGCTGGCGCTCCAACCACCAGAACTCTCTGAGAACCTGAAAGCCCTCCTTGCTGTAGGGTACCTCCCTGCACGAGGCAGGTCTGACTCCCTTTCAGCAGATTCATTGACCCTACAGGTACCTTGCCCTCCATGACCATCATGGGCTGGGAGCCAGTGTGGATCAGGTTGGTACTGTCCCCATGGATCCCGCTCCTTTCCACCAGTACCATGTTGGGGCCTTGGGATTGTCCACTAGACATCACTGTCTGACCCTGAACGACCACGCCTTGGGCAGGTCCAGTATGGGTGCCGTTAACCAGTACCATGCCCTGCAGGTTGGTGGGTGGTGCCTCAGCCAACAGCATGGTGTTCTGAACCTGTGGCTGGACTACATATTGCATTGGTTGCAGCACAGGGGTGGAGGTGTAGTACACAGGCTGCTGCTGTAGCAGGAGCATCTGGCCTTGATTTGCTTTCCCTCCTCTCATTGGGGTCATACTTTCCTTCACCACCTGAGAATGCTCAGATGTCTCCCTGACCATAGTCTGCTCCGTTTTTGAGACAGTTGGCTGCAGCTTGTGTGAAGGGGGCAGCTGTGGGGCAGTTATCAAACTTGACACTGAGGTCGGAGTGTTGATGGTGGTACTGGGCGGAGGGGAGAACACTGGTTTGACTTCAGTTTGGATCGTCTTGCCTCCGCACACCTCAGCCAGGGTCTTAAACTTTGGTCCGAGGTCATTGAGGAACTGCAGGTCATTGTCAGACTCCAGGAGACTGCAGCAGCCCACTGAGCCCGCAGAGGAGCCCTGGCCCTCATAGTCATGAATCAGAAGACTGTCCTTCACTCCAAGGTTCTCATTGCCACTGGTCACCTTCTGTTTAAAAGAAGAAATTAAATATTACCAATCTTCTCTTTTTTTTGAGTAAGGACAGCCATTTTTTGGTATTCATGATATAGAATTTTTTGGAATTTAAACGAATGTCTCTGAAATCATAACATTACAATTCTAATCAAAAAATCTCATTATTAGTCAGTAGAAACCCCATAAACATGTATGTTGGTATGTCCATTAATACACAGTGAGTTAGCTTAAAGGGCTCTTTAAAATAAGTTCTTAAAATTCAAGGTCAAACTTAAAAAAACCCTTTTCTGTAAGTGACAGGACAAGGATAAGTATACAGTGGGATTTTTGTTGAACTGTAAAGGCAAAGAAATTTGCAGCTGAGCAAATATGTAACAGAAAATAAAGGGTAGAAATTATTCCTCACCTGACTGTAGTACTGTCCCAGGAAGTGGTCCGACAGAGCCATGCCATCATAAATTCCTCCACCTCCTCCTGATTCTCTGCCCTCAAACTCAGAGTAGAAGCCACTGCCGCTCCTCTGGTTCACCCCCTCCCACTGTCTGTGGTCAACTGCAAAACCGGCCCCGTTCATCCCATCCATGGAAGTGACTGACTGTTCCATTGCTGCAGTTTTGGTACCCATGCCTGTATCCACTTTGATCAAATCTCCATCTATTTGTGTTGGCAAGTTCAGCAGTGGCACCTCCTACAATAGGCCAAGGATCCAAATGTTAGAACAGATTCAGAGGTTTTTCTGCTGCCTAGTGGCTAAAAACATTTAATGAAGATTTCAAGTAGATTTGGTGTCAATAGCAATTGACCAGCGTGTATAGCCAGTATTCCAGTCCTCACCAGTGGAGGTCATGTGTTCAAAATTTAAATATGTTGGTCTTACCGTGTTCTCTCCCTGGCCCTCAGTGCGGTAGTTAATGAGGTGTGATTTGGTGTCGAAAGGCATCTCAGTAAAGCCCCCTGGCAGACCCGCAGCCCCCCCACATTGGCAGAAGAGCAGCAACAGAGGAATGACTGTAAAAACAACAACAAAGTTTTAGTCTAACTTAGTGTCTCCCAAAGTGTAATGTGAGAAATGCAGTGGTCCCCTGGGTCCTCCAAAGAAGGAGCTGCAGTTTCAGTTTGCCTGGCACAATATGTTGTAACAGGTGACCATGTAGTTCTTTATTAACAACACCAGGTCTTTCTATAACCCTTCTTGTGTAAATTACTAATGCTATTGTGCCAAAGATTTAGTGTTGTCCCTCACTTTGGATAAAAACACTAAATGAGTAGATGTAAATGGTGCATGTTTTAATGTCTGACATTTTTGACTTGACTGAGGGACTGCCCTCTTGAATGTTTTCAGATTTGCTGCCACCTGCTCGCGTTACCGACCATCTACAAGTGTGATTGATTCGATCCTACTGTGCCAGAGTTCAGTTAAGTGCTGAACCTCTGTGGCCCCCTGTCATCTTTATGCCAGGTGAAATATAACGGTGTGGTCATACTTACGTGCTAATAGCAGCAGGCCCAGGAATAGCAGTCCAATGCCTGCAGGCCCTAACTCTGCTCCTTTGCTGGGCTGACCATTGGCCCCCCTTTTTCCACACACCACTCCATCCTCACAGGTACAAACTTGGACTGTCACTTTCTGTGGTTCTGGACAGACGTGTCCCTGCTCATCCTTTACTAAAAATTCCACTTCATAGAAACCAGGCCACATGGACTCCTGGGCCCTCAGGATAGCTGCAGTGTCTGCCCGCATCAAACATAAGAAAAATGTAGAAAATCAATATGGTAACAAAAGGTTCTAGAACTTCTGCAAGCTCATGATCTCAAGCTGCTAAACACTTGCTGCTTTTCTCTCACATACAGATGGCAGCAGTATTCTCCTTACCATTGAGATGCTCCACCTGCCACTTGCCCTTAGTGCCTTCTGGGACAATATCGAAGTCAAAAGGGGGTCCGTTGGGGAATCCATCCTCATCTTTGGCGTTCACAATAACGTTATCACTTGTGGTACACATAGTCTGGAAATCACTGGTCAGGGTGGGGCAGTGGTCATTAAAATCCTCCACCTGGATAGCTATGGTGCCAGTGGATGTTTTACCGGGCATGTCTGTGTTAGAAAATTACAAATAAGAACAGATCATTCAGCATGTTCCTTATATCTTTCCTTTCTTCAGACACAAGTTCACAGACAAATGCTTCACTCTCACTGCTGCTTGACAACAGGTGTACACAACTGGTTGTCCTGCTAATGATGTGTTTGGACTGAAGATGCAGATTTTCTCCTCCTTCATTGTTGTGTTTGACTTCTGTAGTCTTTGCGCGGTCTGTATAGATCTTAGATGAAGCTAGCTGGCAGTTATGTGTTCATGTGACTTGCATTTTTCCACTTCCTGTATATCCAGTATAGTCATGATCCCCAGCAGATGACCCATTTTGCATAGCCTCCTATATAGTCAAAAGGTTGGACACACCTTCTCATTCATAGGTTTTTCTTTATTTTAACTATTTTTTACATTGTAGAACTGAAGACATCAGATCTATGAAATAACACATATGGAATTATGTAGTAAAGAAAAAAGCTTCCTATTTTAGAGTAATTTACCTGAGCAGCTTTGCACAATATTGGCATTATCTTAACCAGCTTCATGAAATTGTCACCTGGAATGCTTTTCAATTAATAGGTGTGCCTTGTCAAAATTTATTAGTAGAATTTGTTGCCTTTTTAATATGTTTGAGACCATCAGTTGTGTTGTGTGGTGGTATTGTTGGTATACAGTAAACAACCCTATTGGACAATGGTACTAATCTATTTATGTCAAGAACTGCTCAACTAAGTAAAAAGAAACAACAGTCCATCATTACTTTAAGACATGAAGGTCACTCAATCCATAAAATTGCAAGAACTTTGAATGCATCTTCAAGTGCAGTTATAAAAACCATCAAACACTCTGATGATTCTGGCTCTGATGAGGACTGTCCCAGGATTGGAAGACCAATTTACCTCTGTTGCACAGGATAAGTTCATTAGAGTTTACCAGCCTCAGACATCAACAATGAACAGCACCTCTGATTAGAGTCTACATGAATTCTTCATCGAGTTTAAGTAGCAGACACATCTCAACATCGACTGTCAGGAAGAGACTGTGTGAATCAGGCCTTCACGGGCAAATTGCTGCAAAGCAATCATTACTGAGGGAGGTCAAAAAGAAGAATAAAACAAAAGCACCAGTGGAAATCAGTACTTCGGTCTGATGAGTCCAAATCTGAGTCTTTGTGAGACACAGAGAAGGTGAACGAATGGTATCTGTGTGTGTGGTTCCCTCTGTGAAGCATGGAGAAGGAGGTGTGATGATGTGGGGGGGGCTTTGCTGGTGACGCTGTCTGCGATTTATTCAAAATTGAAGGCACACTTATCCCGCATCACTACCACAGCATTCTGCAGCAACATGCCAACCCATCTAGTTTGTGCATAGTAGGATCATCATTTGTTTTTCAACAGGACGATGACCCAACACACACCTCCAGGCTTTGTAAGGCCTATTTAACCAAGAGTGAAGGAGCACTGCATCACATGACCTGACCTCCACAATCACCCAACCTAAATCCAGTTGAGATGGTTTGGGATGAGTTGGACTGTAGAGTGAAAGAAAAGCAGCCAACAAGTGCTCAACATATATGAACTCCTTGAGGACTGTTGGAAAACCATTCCAGGTGATGACCTCATCAAAGCAAAAAGGTACCCTATTTGAAGAATCTACAATCTAAAACATTTTGTTCTGTTTAGCCTTGTTTTGTTGTTTATGTTGGTGTTTGTTTTTGTTTACTATGTAACTGGTGGGATTGCTGAATGAAGCAATCCCAGTATATGTTGTTGTTTTTTTTCTTCCAACCCATTTTTTGGCCTGCTACTAGTCCCACACCATTTGTTGTAGAAACTCCATTCAAATGTTAAAACGTGTGTCTTGATCAGCACATTCCAGGCATTACTTTTTTCAGCAATATGTCTAATAATTTCTGAAATATTGATAATTTTGTCAGACTTTTTTTTACAATGGAAGTCAATGGAGAGAATGTTCAAATCCTTGAAACCTTTCTCCTCTTTGAACCTCAACTACTTTGCCATACTTTAGAGACTTTATTCAGTCTTTAAACGGGTCCCAAGACTTTCAGCTATTTCAAATAAATTCAACTTTTTGATATACCTGTACAGTTTTTAATTTATCGCAGTTTTAGTTTTATGCTTTTTTCTGATCACTTTTGAGTTTATAATGGGTGTGTGTTGCGTGGAATGTTCAGGGATAGAGTGGGTGACATCACCGCTAGAGTGAGAGGAGGGATTAAACTGCTAAAAAAAAATTACTTTTAACCTCGTCCTCCAGGCCACAAATTTAACTTAATGCTTATGATTATTTCCCATCAACTAGACAAACTTGTCGGCTTTCAGACAATGTGACTAACAAAGCACAGAGACTCACAGAATCTGAATTGTGCCCTTTCAAAGTGGCAGGTTACCATCTAACTAAAGTAGGAAACAGGAAGGGAGGCATTGTTAAAATGCCTGCATAGGCCATTACAGCATGAAACAAATCTGCACTGTGTAAGTTTGTGTGTTCATGTCACATGTTCATGTTAGCTCTGTCGTCCAGCTGCACACAGGTGATGCTCGTTAACAGCCTGATTGAT